AACAACCACCCCAATACTCCCCGCCTGCCCCACCACACTCCTCGCCACGCCCTCCAAACTCAACCCACTCAACCTCGTCTCGCCATGCTTGATCTTCGCAATCTCATACACATGCTTCAGACTAACCGTGCCCACAGTCCCTTTCACCGCGTTTCCCACAGTCGGACTACTCGTCGACGTCTTTCCTTTTTGCCCGTCGTGGTTGTTCATAGGCCCGGGTACGTTTCCAGCACCTCTTATCTTGTTCTTGGTGGGGAGCACGCCGGCGGCGGAGAGGAGGAGGGTGGCGGTGGGAGGTGTGCGCAGTTGGAAGTGGAAGGAGCGGTCGGGGCGGACGGTTATGCGGGCGGGGATGGGGGTGCCGGGGGTGTAGTGGGCGGTGCGGGCGTTGAACTCCTGTATCATAATCAGTATACATGAATTGGTTATGCGACAATCGACTATGAAGCTATGCGACAGCCGGGGCGATTGGCAAACGTACTTTGCAGAAATCCATGCTCTTCACACCTTTACTTCCCAGCGCTGGACCGACAGGCGGCGAGGGCGACGCTTGCCCTGCGCCTACGATCAATTTGACGATTTGGTCTTTTGCTATTGCTTTTCGCGCCATGGTTGGGTGGGGATGTGGTTTGCGTTGGGGTGGGTTGCTGGGGAATTTGCGGAGATGGGCTCGGAGGTGTCGGTCACAGGGTTTTCCGGGATATGGTGAGGTATGCGATTGACGCGTTGGACGTATTGAAATGATGGGAATGTGAACAGGAAGTTATGGAGATACGGTTTCTAGGTATGATGGAGATTTTGGATCTTGGTGGGATGACGATGCTGCCTGTCGTTCCACGTGACGACGTGATTGAGCTAACAATCTACGCGTCGCAATTCCGCCACCTGGGAGCACTGATCAGCATTCCCGCACGACACTCTCTTTCCTCCCATCTCCCACCACATCGACCGGACATAGGCTGCAAACCTCCCCAGTGCCTCCTAGAAGTGTCAATTTCTCATGCATCGACCGAAATCTCTCGCAGCGGGCGAGGCCACCCCTGCGAAGCCCGCGGCGCGTCTATATGGTGGCACTCCACAGTCGACCGAACGACTCATCAAGCCCTTCCGATGCCCTGGCTCGGCAACAGTATCCAGTGTCTCAACGAAACCCGCAAGGAAGAGGAGGAAGGTCGATTACTCTGGTGCAGGAGGTGAAGACGGAGAGAGCGATAAGCCGTACTCGAATGAAGACCGATTAGCCCTCGCCACACGGGACGCCAACCGATTTCCCGTCTTCAAGCCCAAAGACAAAGATACCGCGTTCAGAACCAAGTTCATCGTTCCTTTAGTTAACAAGGATGTTGGAGCCTACAACCCGAATCGACCAGCGCCGCTGCTGGGTATGCGCACTGGAACTGTCTTTGTTGCGCGACCGCTGCACGACCCCAGCGGAGAGTTTGCGATAGTACTGTACGATCCTACGGTTGACGACAAACCGATACCGAAGGAAGAGGCGGAACCGAAGTTGAGTCAGACAGAGAAGAAGGAGATGGAGGCGCCGCTGGTACACAAGAGTTTGGCGGAGATACTGGGGTTGAAGAAGAAGGTGGACAACGAGCGACCGCGCGTACCGGTCGTCATTGATCCGAGACTTGCAAAGGTTCTGCGACCGCATCAAGTCGAGGGTGTGAAGTTCTTGTATCGCGCCACGACGGGTATGATCGATCCCAAGGCGAATGGGTGTATCATGGCCGACGAGATGGGTCTTGGAAAGACGCTGCAGTGCATCGCGCTCATGTGGACACTACTCAAGCAGTCACCCGATGCTGGCAAGTCGACGATACAAAAGTGCGTTATCGCTTGTCCGTCGAGTTTAGTGAGGAATTGGGCGAACGAGCTTATCAAATGGCTTGGGAAGGATGCTGTCACACCCTTTGCGATTGACGGCAAGGCCTCGAAAGAGGAGCTCATCCAGCAAATACGACAATGGTCGATCGCATCTGGACGTGCAGTCGTCAGACCTGTCCTCATCGTATCCTACGAAACTCTGCGCCTCTACGCCGACGAATTCGGACAGACACCTATCGGCTTGATGCTTTGCGACGAAGGCCATCGCCTGAAAAACGGTGATAGCTTGACGTTTACCGCGCTCAACAACCTGAACGTGCAGAGGAGAGTTATTCTTTCCGGTACACCCATCCAGAACGATCTGTCAGAGTACTTTGCGCTACTCAACTTCGCCAACCCCAACTACCTCGGTACGCGCATGGAGTTCCGCAAGCATTACGAGATTCCTATTTTGAAAGGTCGCGATGCCAATGGAACAGATGCGGATGTCAAGAAGGGTACTGAGCGGCTCACCGAGCTTCTCGGGTTAGTCAACAAGTTCATCATCCGACGAACCAACGACATTCTCTCCAAATACCTGCCAGTCAAGTACGAGCACGTCGTGTTCTGCAACCTTGCGCCGTTCCAGAAGGACCTATACAACCATTTCATCAAGTCACCCGATGTCCAGAGTCTACTCCGCGGCAAGGGTTCGCAGCCGCTCAAGGTCATCGGCATGCTCAAGAAGCTGTGCAACCATCCCGATCTACTCAACCTACCAGAAGACTTGCCAGGCTGTGAAGACAAGCTACCAGAAGACTTTGTGCAGAAGGATGCGCGAGGCCGAGACCGCGAGGTCAAGACATGGTACTCCGGCAAGATGGCCGTCCTAGACCGCATGCTCGCCCGCATCCGCGCCGAAACCAACGACAAAATCGTCCTCATCTCCAACTACACGCAAACCCTCGACATCTTCGCCATGCTATGCCGCTCACGCGGCTACGGCTGTTTCCGTCTCGACGGCACCATGAACGTGAGCAAGCGCCAAAAGCTAGTCGACAAGTTCAACGACCCCGAGAGCCCCGAATTCGTCTTCCTCCTCTCCTCCAAAGCCGGTGGCTGCGGTCTCAACCTCATCGGCGCGAACCGCCTCGTCCTCTTCGACCCTGATTGGAACCCTGCTGCCGATCAACAAGCCCTCGCTCGTGTATGGCGTGACGGACAGAAGAAAGATTGTTTCGTGTACCGCTTCATCACCACGGGTACTATCGAAGAGAAGGTCTTCCAGCGCCAGTCCCACAAACAGTCTTTATCGTCTTGTGTCGTCGACAGCGCGGAGGATGTTGAACGCCATTTCTCACTCGACTCTCTCCGCGAGTTGTTCCAGTACCGCGACAACACTACGAGTGACACACACGACACATTCAAGTGCAAGCGCTGTAGGAAGGAAGACGGGAGACAAGTGGCGAAAGCGCCCGCGATGCTTTACGGTGATACGAGTACGTGGAATCACTTTGTCAATGATGGGGAGAGTGGGCCGTTGGGCAAGATCCAGGATTTGTTGTTGAGGCAGGAGACGGGCGATGGGTTGAGGGATGTTAGCGCTGTGTTTCAGTATATTAGTCATTGAGTGGGTGGTATGGTGTGGGTGTAGGTGTGGGATGAAGGTGCTGATAGGCAGGATGAGGGTGTTGTCAGCATGTGTCATTTGCATAGTTCTTTCGAGGTTTCTAGCGTTCATGAAGCGTGGTGTTAAGATGGATGGTGCTGGGTAGTGGGTTATGATAATGAAATATGATATCTTTACGTTGGCGAGACTTGGTCACTATGGTTTTTGACCTCATGTCGCCTATGCTAATATCTCGCATACGGACTTTGCAGGCATGCATCGCGGTTGCCGAAACCTACTTGTCGCGCTATGTTCATGACGCGCATTCGTGTCTGTCTCGATGTGCCCATATTCCTAAGGCAAACGTGCCGTGTAAACGCTCTTGCCTCATTTGCGAGAACGCGTTCCAAGTCGCGTCATGTTGTTCGGAGTAATGACGGAGTCACACGGGATGAATTGGTCAGTGTGGTTGGTGTGGCCAACCGTGGCTGTTGATTTGCAATCCGCGGTCCTTGGTGTGGTGATTTCTTGGTTGAGAGGGAAGTCGCAACTTGGTGTTGGGGATGGACGGCAGGTATTGGGTGCGGTGCAAAACGGCGGAGGGGTTGTGATTGTGGTTCATGTTCTTAGGCTGACGCCTGATTCTTTGTTCCGATAGCAGATGGCGGCGCACTTCAACAAAGGATGTCGAAGGCAACGCGGTGAGCTCGAGAGCATATGCCATTCTGTGCCGAAGTACTGTTCAGCACTGTGACAATGCTATCGCTGGCTGAAATGGCACATTTCCCCGGGGCCTATAGACCGAGTGCAGTGCCAGTAGTAGAACGATGGTGTTCGCTCCATTCATGCCAGACACAGTACCAAAGTTCGCGATGACTTTCATGCTGATACGTGCCATACTCTCACCATGCGCAAGAGTTCCAGTCCATGACTACCATCAGTACCGCTCATACGCAAACTCACCTATCACCATCACTGCGTTGTTCTCTCGTCTCCACTTTTACCATCACCGTTCCTTCTCTTCGTCGTGGCTGCCTATGACGTAGCCCCACTCTTGTGACTCTTTTACACCCGCCCGGACATGCTTCAGCCAACTCACCTCCCACCTCTCATCCATGGTTCCATCGGTACCACCGTCTCTCACCTACCAGGCTGCTGTCCACGCTGGCCTTTGAGACGCCACCTGGGTATATATCAGGCTCCTCTCCTACACTCTTCTTCCTCTCAACTTTCCTCAGCCCACTCTGTGAAGACCAGCACCTGGAAAGCGCCTACCCTGAGGCTACAAGAACTTTTCATCTGACGAACCAACGAAACGTACGACGTTGTATCCTCCAGACTCGAATTTTGTCTTCATCTTGTTGCGGACAAGCTTCGTTGTAGTCGGCAACCGAAGTTTGCATCCCGCTAGCTAGCTCGCGCCACCTGGTCCGAGCTCCAACATTTCGTAGTCGAGCTCCACCATCCGAGTGAACCCTCCACGCCCACAAACCTCGCGCGCACACGCATACCATACCCTCGACTCGACACCACGCTCCCGACGAATCGCGCGACCGCCAACACACTCGAACTACCACACATCATGGATTCCAAACGCCGCAAGACCGGCGACCAGGATGTCAGCGCCTTGAGGTTGGCGTCGCGCCAGAAATACCTTGCCGAACGCGAAGCGCAACAACTCGCCCTACTCCGCCGCCAGGTCGCCGAAGAAGCAGAAGAGGAGGAGAGGCTGGGCAACAAGCTGAGCGAGAGAGAAAGAGCCGAGTTCAAGAAGAATCGTCAGACCCTGGAGTTGGCCGAGGCGCGAAATGCGATTGACGATTCTGGTTCCGGTTTCCAAATTCCCGACGCCGAGTACTCGAATAAAAACGAAGCTCTTACTCGCAGACACAAGGACACAGATGTCGACTACAAGAGCGAATACCAGCTCTGGGAAGAGAACACCATGAACAAGATATCTGGTCAGACCAAGCCAACCGATGCCCTCCGAGAGCAGGCTGACGGGTGGGAATTTGTGCTAGATCCAGCACAGGACGTGGTATATGATGGACCTATGGTGGACCTGGAGAAGCAGAGGCTTGAGATGCTCGTGGACGAAGCAGAGAAGCATGCCGCCTCAATCGAGGAAGTTCGCCGTTCATTACCGGTCTACCAATACAAGGATGAGTTCATCAAAGCTCTACAGACTGAACAGATACTCGTCTTCGTCGGTGAGACTGGAAGCGGAAAGACCACGCAGATCACGCAATTTTTGCGCGATGCTGGGTTCGCGAAGCAGGGGCGCATTGGCTGTACGCAGCCCCGACGTGTGGCGGCTATGAGCGTTGCCAAACGCGTGGCAGAAGAGGCTGGCGTTCGCTTGGGCAAAGAGGTTGGCTATCAGGTCCGCTTTGAGGAGAAGTTCGATGCCGCGACTACTGAGATCGTCTACCTTACGGACGGCCTACTCCTGAAGCAATGTCTTACGTCCCCCCTACTGGATGAGTACAGCGTAATCATTCTGGACGAGGCGCACGAAAGGACCATTTCTACCGACGTGCTGATGGTCTTGACCCGTGAGATTGCCCGTTGCCGACCAGATTTTCGTCTTGTCATCGCTTCGGCTACCCTGAACGCTCAGTTCTTCTCTGAATACTTCGACAACAGCAATGTGTTACACGTCCCAGGTCGAACATTCCCAGTCCAGAAACTATACACGTCGTCGCCGGAGGCCAACTATCTGAGCGCGGCCCTAACTACCTTCTGGCAAATCCACGCGTCGCAACCGAAGGGGGACGTTCTGATTTTCCTTACCGGCGAGGATGAGATCATACAGGCTGCAGAGTCTATCGAGTCTACTGCCAAAAAGCTCGGAAACAGAATGGCACCTGTCGTAGTCGCACCAATCTTCAGTAGCATGGAGACAGATTCTCAACAGCGTATCTTCTCGCCAACGCCACAGGGCAGCCGCAAGGTCGTCATTAGTACAAATATCGCTGAAACGTCTTTGACTATAGACGGCATCGTTTATGTGATAGATTCGGGAATGGTCAAACAGAAGCGGTATGACGCAAGACTAGGTACCGAGACCTTATCAGTTGTGCCCACATCACAATCCAGCTGTAATCAGCGCAGTGGTCGTGCGGGCAGAGTGTCCCCTGGCATTTGCTTCAGGCTGTTTACAAAGTGGTCCTTTTACAACGAACTTCCGCCTTCGACGGAGCCAGAGATCCTACGCTCAAACCTCGATTCCATGATACTGATGATGAAGAGTATGGGAATAAACGACATCCTCAACTTCGATCTGCCTTCCAAGCCTCCTCCCGAAGCCATGTGCTTAAGCCTCGAGACGCTTTACGCTCTTCAATACCTGAACAGTGAAGGACAAATCACGAAGTTGGGTCGAAAGGCAAGCGAACTGCCATTGGATCCAAAGCTAGCGAAAGCTCTGCTAGCTGCTGACAGTCTTGGCTGCGTCGACCAGATAGTCACGATTGTTGCTATGGTATCGGAGGGAGGTAACGGGCTGTGGTTTAGTCCGAAAGATAAGAAAGCTGCAGCAGATCTAGCACGGCAGAGATTTGCATCAGAGCACGGGGACATGATCTCACTTCTGAACCTTTGGAACGAGTTCGAGGAGACAGGGTTCAGCAAAAGTTGGTGTCAGGACAATTTCGTTCAGTATCGGACGCTCAACCGCGTGGTCGATGTTCGCGATCAGCTGTTCAGACTTTGTGACAAGGTTGAGATAGAGAGGAGTAGCTGTGGGTCAGCCGATCACGTCAAGATCATGAAGAGTTGGACTTCGGCATACTTCGCCAATACCGCCCGGCTAAACAAGGATGGCATGAGCTATCGCTGCCTTTCCTCGCGCAACCAAGTCTGGATCCATCCATCCTCCTGTCTGAGAGACAAGCGGCCGCGTTTGGTATGCTACTTCGAGCAGGTGGAGACCTCAAAATCGTGGATGCGTACTGTCGCCCCAATTGAAGCATCATGGCTCAGTGAACTAGCTCCTCACTACTTTAAGAAGGGACAGCTTGACGATCTGGACGTCGGCAAGAAGATGGGCAAGGGTGCTGGGAAGGTGAGTGTTGATCGCTGAATGCAGGTTCAGACAAGAGCTCCCGGATGATTATGGAAGTACGGTAGTGAGAGAGTGGGCATTTAGGCTCACAGGCCGCCTTTATTTCATCATGTATCATATTCAGCGGCATCATCTTCACGTGGCGTCATTCTCAAGCATTCCTGGGTTCTCGCACGCAGCGGTATGTAGAGAGCGAAGATGTTTGAGGCACAATGCTTCGATGTGCGGACGAGATTTGGTTTTCCGAACCGAGTGCTAGGCGTTTTGGAAGGAAAAGGCTGGATCAGTGTATTCGATATGATACCCAATTTCATGTTTGTTTTGGTCAGGCATGTTGGGCTTTTAGCGTAGCATGGTGCAATGAAAGATTTGAGTCAAACTATATCTACATGTTGGTACCGTGAAATGCTATGAACTCTTGTGCGGTTGTAGTTAAGAATAAGTCTTGGGGCGGTGAATATAGGTGGAAACCGGCCGGGAGTATAAAGCATGCGTTCCAAGGTTCTTTATGCTGCATTTCCACGATAATTAAAAAGCATATGTACGTAGCGAAGCAAGTAGCTGCGAATGCCTTGAAGCGTTGCGATGAGTTGAGGTATGTTTGGCTCTTGGTACGAGAATGCATCTAGCAATTTTGTTCTATTCGAAGACATTAAGTCCACTCGATACCGCATAGCTAATTCATGACATCTAGATACTCCACTACGGCTCACGTTGTATGCTTCAAACGGGTACATAGAAGTGAGTATTCATGCTTTCACCTTCACGGTATGTTTCAAACAGGTACATTAAAGTGAGTATCTATGCTTTCACCTTCACGGTAGTCTAATCGCACACCGCAGATTTGGTCGGAATGCAGCTAGAGACTTCGTCACGACTTACATCGTATGCTTCAAACGGGTATATTGAAGCACGTATTGATACCTTAACCTTCGTGGCAGTCGCATCGCACACCGCAGATACGGTCGGAATGCAGCTAGAGACTTCGTTACTACTTGCATTGTATGCTTCAAACGGGTATATTAAAGCGAGTTTTTTGCTTTAAGCTTCGTGGTAGTCGCATCGCACACCGCAGAGTTAGTCGGAATGCAGCTAGAAACGTCGACATAACCCATATCGTATGCTTTAGACCTATGCATTAGGATGTATACTTCCGTATCTGTGCTAGTGTAGTAGGCAAGGCCGACATATTCCAAGCCAATAATGTCTATAATACACCGTCCGATCAGCAAGATGGCAGTCGGAAACCGGATCATGACCTGTATCGTGTGCTCCAAACCTATACATTATGATGCATTCTTTCGTATCTACTTCTATGTAGTAGCCTAGGTCGACACATTTTAAGCTAAGAAAGCCTATAATACACCGTCTGATTAGCAAGATGGCAGTTAGAAACCGGATCATAACCTACACCGTGTTCTCCAAAGCGATATGTGGAAGTACAGATCTACATCGTAGTCTTAGAGTAGTCGCCTGGGCCTATCACCGCAGCGCGCACCATCAGGGAGCTGGTAGGGGTAAGATGGCAATACCGTTCGCTGAGAGGCTGACATAGGCCTCTTGACTGCTTTTGCAGCGTCTTTTCGGTGTTGTATGCTATGGTTCGGCTGTGTGAGCGATGCGAGTAGGTGGGTGTTTCACGCTTTTAATACAAAGCAAAGTGTCCCTTTGGTGCGGGAGAGCAGCACGTATTGAGCTTACCTTTTGCAGCTACTCCTGATAGCCCTCTTATTGACATTGGCGGTGATGTTGGCTGGTGTTGCTGCGGGCATGGTTAAGATGGAAGGGACGGACGTCTTGACAAGCTTAAAACTCGACACCTATCACGCTCGGTTGGCCTAACAGCCCATAGTTGGCAATCATGTCCCTAAAATGTTCCTGGAGGTGTTTAAAAACTTGTGCTTCTTGGTTGTATGCAATATGAAAGCACGATACATAATGTAAGGTTTCTTGTGCCATCGGGTGAACGTCTCAGCCTTTGCAACCCTCAATCTCGTTTCCAGGAATCGCGACGCCGCATCCTGTATGCAGCTTGAACTGATTCTGGCTTTTTGATGCTCCTTGCGATGCGAGTACCGAAGAGAAAGACTTGTCTAGGAGGATATTAGCCTATTATCTGTTGATCACTCGTCTGTCTGTGATGTTCTTGTGACTCGATTTGGTGAAGACGAGAAAGTCGGAACCGGCTTCAGCAAGTCTTCTAGTATGGTTGAGAGCTACACTGGCGTACGACCTGCGACATATACGCGATCAGAGCACTTGTAGGTGCCTCTCCGATCAAATAGGATGCCGCGGAATACCTGGCTTAAGGCTGTTGTCGGCAGATGCAAAAGGCGGTTGTCGCGTGTACTCAATGCTCGTACCACCGAACCGGAGCTGAATTGGGCGGCTGACCTCGCAAGTCAGATAGTGTAGGAAGGGTTGGTATTGGTGCACGATACGGCGCGCTGTCACCGGCGAAATATACATGCGCTGGTGATGACACTGCCAGGCCTCATGTCGGAGATGCAAGTTTCCAGCATGCTGTATAGACTGCGACAACCGCTCACAACAATACCCACTGGCACATTCGACGTGGATGTATTCGGCAAACCTGTTTATCCTACCTTTGAATAAACTCGTAGCTTCTCTATTAGTCGCCTTGCTTATACCTAGATCTACTATCTTTAGACGGTTTCTAGCATACGAAGCATGTCGAGAAGCTCGTGCACCAGCATGCAACTTACACCAGCATATATCCCATACTCCAGAACTATCCCGGGGCTCTTCACGAGCTTGTTTTGCTTGTAGGCCTTCGCAGGATCAGCTTGGGCAAACATGCAACCGCCAAGTATTGTGCCGTCACGCGCAGTGTTCGTATCCCATATGCTAGCAGTCCAAGGCACAAAATCGCGTCGCATCTGCCGCAAGAAGATGTATGTATCCTTGGTAACCTTCTGCCGGAGAGGCATGTCGTTGTACAATTTTGATGCGCAGACGACTTTGATGTAGTCGTCGGCCCTCGGCTCCGGTTCGGTGTGGTCTTCGTTCTGGACATCTGATGAGAGCAGGATAGGCGCATTGACGGTCCCGATTCGTGCGCGCTTTCGCAGTGGCGCGGGCGACGCGGGAGGAGACGAGGGTTGAATAGGCTCTGAGCCCGCACCGTTTCGGTCTTCGATATCAGCATGCACTGGAAGAATCTTCTGGTCGCCTTCTAGTGCTGGGGCAGGCAGCGTCTCGAGCAATGCCAGCCCATATTGTGTCGAACGCTCGCAGCCTTTCCTCGGTGGCGTGTAGGCCTCTGAATTTTGTTCCACTGGGACACTTGCACCTGCCAATGTGGAAGTGCATGTGGCAGAAGTGGACACCAGCGAGGCGACTACAAAGACATCGGCGTCGGTCTTCGAGAAGGCGATATGTATCTAGGTCAACTACATCTACAATAGAGATACCAGCGAGCATCATCGCGGTTTGTTGTAGTAGTTTGGCGTTTCATTCGCTTGGTGAACGATTATATCCAAGACTATGAATGCGGCATCCTTGCACCAGACTTTCGCGATGAAGGGTGGTAATTGCGACGGAAAGCGTTCCTTCCAAGAACCTTGATCTGCGCTCCAGCTCTTCAAACACTGGGGATTCATACGTGTATAAAGAGAATTTCCAGAATATTGACGCTGTTAGTATGTTTCTGACCCAGCTTCAGCTTACCTCCCAATAAATCTTCTCTGCCTGACTAGGCATCTGTGGCCGACACAAGATGTCCAAATAAGACCGGATAAACCTTCGTAGCACACAACGGTGTCTCCTTGGATCATGGTTGGGTGACCGGAAGATGACAAGCTGACCCCGGCTGTAAGATGGTGGTATAGTAGAAGCGGCAGGCGCGAATGCATACGCATTCGGCACCGGTCTGCCCAAACGACTTTGCAATATCGCGGCTCTCGGCACGTCGTTTTCGTGAAGGAAGCGCATCCTACAATCTCGCCATCGATCCTACGTTCTCGAACAGCGCGGCATGTATCGCGCGAGCCACGCGTCAACCCTCTTCCCAAGCCAAAAGCAATATAACCACTCGCCTACCCAAGTCCTGCAAACAACATCAGGAATGGATATACGCGCCGTGACTAAAACAAAGGGTCGCAAGAGCCGAGATGCCGTCAATTTATTGTTAGGTTGGACAAAAGGTGACGCGTTCGGTATTTTGGCGTTCTTGGGGAATGCACGGGCGGATGAATGGGTGGGGGGCCACATGCCAGGCACGAGTTGCGGCAGGGTAAGGCGGTCTGTGTAATTTCCCGGTGCAGGGTCTCAGGGGCGACCCGACTTGAACGGTGGTTCGTGTGCGAGGATCAGGGTAAAGAAGGAAAGATTGTCAAGACGTCAGTACATGAGATATTTTGGAGACGGCGGTGGTGTCAAGTGCTACGATATGGTTTGCACAGTGCGAATAATGTCAAGTTGCGATCAAATAGCATTGATGGTAAAATATGTACAGAAGGGTATCAGGTAGACAGTCAAGTCGTAAAGTAAAGGTGGAAATCATGTCATTAAGATAGCCAACTCTTCTCAGAACAGGCAAAGAGTCTAGGAACAAAAAAGACCACCGGGGACCACACGACTCCCTCCATAGGGCCAGTAAGCATTCCAACCAAGGCGTATTACAATACCAAGTATATCGATCCATCGAAATGCCGCTGCGACTTGATTGCGCAAGGAAGCAAAGGGCTCGTACCACCAACACCGCGCTCCCAATCCTAGACTGAATCGTGATGCAGAGTCGAAGTCGTAACCCGTGAAGCCATGTTTTATTTCCTCCTCTTTCCACAACTCGAGAAGAGACTAGCTAGGCCATGGAAGACCATGACCCGACGAATCACTCAAGAGCGAACCGCTTACAAGAAAGCAGCGAGGGCACCAGCGATGGCGAAGAAGCCAACGGAGACCTTGCCGGCGGCACCGGTGAACTCAGCGGGCTTGGAGGCGCTGGGCATAGCACCAGTGCCAGTAGGAGCAGCAGTTCCGGCAGGGACGTGGGGAACAGTGCCGTTGGAGGAGGGGTAGATGGGAGAGACCGGGGTGTAGGCAGGCGCAGTGTGCTCAGCAGCCGGGACGGAAGCAGAGGTGACAGTGGGCATGGGGACAGCCGGGATCTCGGGGGTAGGGGTGTGGACGTAGGTAGCAGTGTACTCAGGGATGCTGAGGGTGGTGCTGGAGGAGATGGTGTAGGTGGAGACACCGTAGGTGATGGTGGTGGGCTCAGGGCAGACGTAGCTGGTGGCGTGGACAACCTCGGTGGTGGTGTAGGCGGGCTTGGAGGCAGAGTAGACGGGAGCCATGGAGCTGGCCTCGTAGGCGGGCTTGGAAGCCTCGTACGCAGGCTTGGAGGCCTCGGGGGTCTCAGCGGGGTAAGACGGGTACTCAGCAGCGGAGGAGGTAGCGGCCTCGTAGGCGGGCATGGAGCTGGAGGCCTCGGGGGTCTCAGCAGGGTAGGCGGGGTACTCAGCAGCAGCGGAAGAGGCCGGGGCAGCAGGGTAAGCCTCGTAAGCCTGGGGAGCGGCAAGGGCAACGGCAGCGAAGCCAGCAATGACGGCGAAGGAACGCATCTTGATGTTTGGTTTGGGGGGTGGGTATTAAAATACGGAAGGTATTAAGTTGTAAGGCGTTGGAGGTCGTTGAAAACGAGTGTGATCGGTGATAACCGTGTATTAGTGAGTGTAGTGAGTGTGTGGTGAGGAATCAACTGAGGAGCAGCTGGCGAAGCCATTATATAGAACTATACACGAGCTGGCCTTACCAAGAGCGCCAGCGTCCATGAACAGGGGGCATTGGCGTAGTTGCATTCGGTTGGCAGTATCGCGAGGGCTCTGGCGTGCCGGTGGCGCCGTTTGGTGGACTGTGCCTGGCATAGTACGAAATAGGGGAACCTGTGGAAAGCTTCGACATGGGCCGTTGTGAGCTGTTTATTGATGGAAGTCGAGCGGGCCAATCAAAAGGTGGATTGCGTGCAGAAACGAAATGAGGTTGACAATTTCCCCTGCCAAGGGGCCTTGCCGCCCCAACACATCGCCCGTCGTTCTAGCTGCTTTTGCCGCAAGCGTTCGATTTGTGCACGCGGAACATGTTCAATCGCCCGGTAGGTACCTATCTCCGGTTCGTGATCCGCACCTGCATGTCAGCTCTGAGCAGAGAAGAAGCCGCGCGACTGTATCTAGGTGTAAGACACACTGGCAGCTGGCATTGGCGCCGAGCCGCTGACTGTGACAAAGAACACCTGAACAGAGCGACGATTAGGGGCTCCTTGCCAGAGGCACTGGAATCCCGATCAGAGTGGAGATGGGTAATCGTGACAGTATCTGGAGCAATCCCCGCGTCTGAGCAAAAATAGCTTCGCTGATAGGAGAAGGGCCAGATTGGACCGGTCTGATGCTGGCGAGGTCGTTGGTTCACGATGGACTGGGGACGTGCGGGTTCCTGCATTGCCCTTGCATCTAGACCTCGACTAGATCCAGCGAAGGGCCGACAGCCCGTCCAGTGTTGCGAACTATTGTAGCCATCGAGATGTAGCGGAAAGCTGTTGCCGGAGCTGCTGTGATATTGGAGGCTGTCCAGCTTTCAGCTTTGTCTCAGCTCTTGTCATACGGGGGCTCTTCTTGCGAGAGTCATCCACCCACAGTGTTCCTTGCAACAGTCGTAACGCAATCTCGCATCCGACATTCCTCAGGAGAGGCGCATGAGCTTAGTGAGCGCCACAATGGTAGTCGCATGTCACGCATTAAGCGCGGCACCTACTTGGGCGCAGGTGTTTCGTCGGAGAACGAATGACGCGCTGCTCAACACGAAGAAACCCGATCCTTCCGCGTTATCATATCCCACAAATAGTGATCATTTCCGCGCAGAGCTAGAGAGCGTCGCGTCGATAAAGGGCGAGGCGTAGTGTGGTATTAGTGAGTGCTACGGTGAGCGAGAGTGGGTGTTCTTGTCGCTTCTAGCCCGTCCCGCCGAAGTGTTGCCGGTCGGGCAAGAGCCCCTCGATACCACACTGCCTTTGACTTTGCTAACACAACAACTTCACCTCACCACGTCGCCGCACAATCCCGTACTATGCATCACCGGAAGGCACAATAGACAGAGATTCCACATCTTTGTTGCGAGCTTCTTGCACTTTCCCGAGCAGGACTAAGCTTGTCGTCTCGACCCGCGCGAAGGAACGACTGCCTGACTGGATTAGATGAAAGCTGCGCAACTCTATCAAAGTCGATAGCAAGATGCCAAAATCATCAGGCGCTGTGCCGAAGGGATGGGATGGGCAAACCATCTACCTTCACGCACCTTCATATTCCAAGAAGCTTTGTAGAGACAAAGTTAGCGCACTTATATTGCCAAAGTCCGATCTACCACCCGATACACAGATTTACAAGCCGAATGGGCCGTACTCGAACGTCAAGATCACACCCGTCACGGACTCTGCGCATCCTGCACACGGACAGCACGCGCTTTATGCTAACCAGCATCTGCCACCAGACTCGTTCATTCTGCCGTACTTGGGCCATGTGCACGATCAGACTGACATTGATGAAGCATCCGACTACGACCTCTCACTCGACCGCGAACTAGGCATCGGTGTTGATGCATCCAGAATGGGCAACGAAGCACGCTTCATCAACGACTACCGAGGCGTCGCTGCCGCACCGAGCGCCGAGTTTCGCGACATACTTGTAGACATTGGGAACGAGAAGGTGGAGAAGAGAGTCGGAGTCTTCGTGCTCAGCGCTGGCAAGAGCGGAAAGAGAGCGAAGGGCATCGGACGTGGACAAGAAATCCTCGTCAGCTACGGCAAAGGGTTCTGGTCAGATCGACACTCTACTGAAGAGTGATACGCCTGTATCACACCGCTCTCATGTCTTGCAACATGTCGCATCACTTTCATGTACATCCGCCGAATGCCGGTATACGTTTGCTTTTCGGTCAATCTCTTCTGCGCGACCGGGCGTCGATTGACGACGCCGTATGATCTGCGCGGTCAGGCCCTCGATCTTCTAAGACCAAACCCGACCAGGCAGCGAGGTGTTTGTGCCGTACGCGTATGATGCGGAGTATGTCGCTTGGACATGACGCTTACTCGAGGACATGCGAATACCTGAATGTTGGGTGTAATCGTGGCGCGCCAGGGCGACGATAAGCCAAGGTCTTGTTCCCGCTGTCATGATTAGGCGGTATCGTCCACAATGTACACGAATCCCACGAGCGTTCTGTCACCAACGTGGCACTCCAGCGTGACACTTCCCTGCCGCGTGAAGGATCAAGGGTCTGTTCTGGAAGCCTTGTCGTGGAACCTTTACGGGGCCCTGATACGCTAGAAACGACGATCGAATTTCCAACAGCCCTGTTATGCCCATGGTTGGGGTTTGAGGCTTGCACAGGGACGTCACACCCAAGCCGAAACCCGGATACACGTGGGACTGAGCCACTAATGTGGCGTCGAAACCTGATTTTTCATACTAAGCCTGCCTTTTGGCCTCTAGACACGTTGAGCGGAATCGAATGTGGTCAAATGCAGCGCCCAATCATCATTTGGGATGTCTCCAAAAAAGCCACATTCATGATAGTGCTGCAGTGTGAGGGCACCCGAGCAGCAAAATTGCCCAATGTCAGCACCATGCAAAACTGACGTCGCAGGATGTCTCCGCGCCGCCTCGGCCTGCGCCGAATTGACTCAGGAATAATTTTGGATCACGCGAAACGTCATACTGTGTCACCATGGCATTTCCGGCAGCATCATGGCATTGTGATGGAGGGCAGAAAATTCGCATTACCCACAAGTTACCCACAAGTGAAGGGCAAGAGTCTGCAGGCAAAATTACTCACGATAATGCAGGTACCATGTGCCATCGACAGCTTCAAGACCTTTCATGTGCGATCCTGTTACTGGATCACGATCCTGCGCCATGGCCTTACATTCAGGTTCTTACCAGTGACGTTATGTCGCTTAGTTTACCTTTCGGGGAAGCAGGAGGATCAGCAAAGGGGCTGACTCCGCCAATCACAGCTGGACTACGCCCCAGCCCCTGGCTATCCCAACAGGGTTCTGCGAAACGGGCCCCGTTACTCAAAGGCGTCTCGACACAGTGACCGCGGAAGGACGGATTCAGCCGCGCTGTGTTTCGGTGCAGGTGTGTTAATCGCACGTCATGGCCTATTCCGGGAATGTGAATGCGCGGCCCCATCACAAGCTGTTTAAGTTGCGAGCAAACCCCCAGACTCAGGAGACCGCATTTGCGAATCCGTCAAACTCTGGAATATTCTGTCAACATCACCAGCCTCGATACTTAAGCGTCAACCATCACCGAGTCGTCGCAGCAGCATCACCTTATCACCATCACTCCACTCTGGTCCACCACCAAGAACTTTTTCGTACCCACACTTCTGGGGCTCCGCCGATCTCTTAGCACCAACGCTCTTGGCATTGTCAACTGGTATTTCTATCAGTAACCCGACAACCCCACATCAGCAGGAATCAAATCTCCCTCCACATCAAACGATACGTGCACCAAGCAACACCATATCAGACTACACCATGGCTCCCATGTCGCGACCCACTTTATGTAGAGTGAGTTCCTCCGAAGTGCTTCCTTCCTTTACACATACTAACATGGCTATCCAGAACGAGTCGATGCAGAAGTACATGCTTCTCTCCGCCCAAAAGGAGGCTCTCCAACGCCGCATGGCTATGGAGATTCCGTTCAACGCCCCGATGGCAGTATCGTCGCCAGAGTTTCAGTCTCTCTCATCTTCGCCCGAGTCCTCACCCAAGTACTCCACGCCCTTCCCCGCAGCCAGTGATCCCGTCGCCGTCAGCTCCAGGACCAGCTCAACCCCGCGCAACAGTGTCGACGACATGCACACGGAAGAATCCCACAAGCTCGCCGTGATCAACCAACAAATCGTCGCTACCCTCACCGAGCTCATGAACACAGAATGCATCCGCAACGACGAGAAGCAGCGCGCCTGGGTCCAAGGCCGCCTCATGGAAGCCGAGCACCAAATACGACGCGAGCGCCGCCGTCACTCTTCCAACGCTGGCGGCGACTTTGCCGACGCCATCGCACAGCATCTCGAGCTCGGTCTCAACACTTCCAAGACGTGGGCTTAGGCCCATGCTTTGACGCACGTCCGCACCATGTAAGGTTTCTCATGCTGCAATGACGTGAGGGTTACGAGGATCACGATCGCGATTTTGCTCTCTTGTGTTTTGCGAGCGGCGTTTGCTTTTTGGGATAGGCAATTGGCGCAACGGTTCTGAAATGAAGTGCTCAAATCAGAAAAACAGATACCCCCTCTTTGATGCAATCGTTGCATCAAGTCGATGGAACTGCTAGGTTCCCGACAAGAACTCTGTATAGTTAGTTTTATGAAATCATGATCACTTTATCACGCATCATCACCGTCATTTGCTGTTGTTCCATCCCGTCCCGTGTCGCGTGCTTTTGACGACGTAATATCTGCCGTTCACGCAATGCTTCTTGTGCACTTTATTTTATCATCCCGAAATAAATCTTCGTAAGCGTACCGGGGCGTTTGGCCGGTAGAGTCTTTCCCGTCCAAT